GAAGAAGGGGGGGAAGGGGGCCTTGTGCAGGGGGTGCAGGAATCCGCTGCCTGCACTGGAACTACTCTGGTAGTATGTCCAGAACCTGGACTGCACCAAGCAAGTCTGTCAGCTGTCACAAGCAAGTCTGAGAGGAACTCTCTAGCGTTATAGTCGCTAGACACGCTGTGCGCAGAAGAGGCTTTGTCAGTCCTCTGTAAAGTTTTGATCTCTGTCAATTTGCATCGCTATCCAGGTGTTTAATGTCTATTCAATTTTCCTCGTCTTTATCTGTTTTATTTGTTTTTCGTGTCATCCTTGTGCAGAGGCCATGCTAATCTTCTTTATCCGTATTGTTCCAATTTTAACAGATGTGCCGAAGGACTCGTCGTTATCTGTATTCTTTTGTCAACTAGAAAGGTGACAAGGGGCGTCTGCGCCTTCGTCAACGAAAAGCAAAGGGCCTCTGCGTCTTGTATCTGTACTAGCTTACCTGTTGCGGCTTCGCCCGCAATGGAGAAGGATTATCTGTCTTGAAAAGCTCAGAGGTTGCAGGGTCTGGTGGGTCGGTGGTAGTTGGATTAGAACTGCTCTCTCTCTCTCTCTCTCTCTCTCTCTCTCTCTCTCTCTCTCTCTCTCTCTCTCTCTCTCTCCATGGCGCCCATCTCCCCCTCCCCCTCCCCTTCCCCTTCTCCACTGCGTGGCGCTCGCTCCCACTTCGGTTTTTCCGCTCCCGCTGTACCGCTATCACCCTCCTCCCCAACTGCACCCGCCCTCCTTCCCAACTGCGCCCACTCGCCTCCCCCACCGCGCCCAGCCACAGCGTCCACCCTCCTCCCCCACTGCGCCCAGCCATGGCGTCCACCCTCCTCCCCCACTGCACCGACCCCCTCCCCTACTCCCCAACTGCACACTCCTCCCCTCCCTACTGCGCCCAGCCACCACGCCCACTCCCCTGCCCCTGTCTCTTATACACATCTAGATGTGTATAAGAGAAGACAAGGTCGACGTACCTGGTCATGGCGGTCGGCTACAAGGTCGACGTCTGCATGTACTTCGGTTGCTGCCGCCACGAACAATGTCTTCGAAGCTC